ATCTGAGAATAACACAATTGCAAATATATTAAAGAACCTGGTCTACTGAATCCAATCAACGGTGTCCTATTTTAATTAAAAGCCATCCTTCTCAGAAAACTATCTTGATTTTTGCACGACTCCTTTATAGGTGTTTGGCTTTGAGGTTGCAAGTCACTTAGAGGAGTTAATTTCCATTTAAACTTTTACAGCTGCAATGAATATAATTTGAGGGGCTTATGGAGCATGTGGGGAGACTTGCTTGCTTTATGGCATGAGGTCATTCACTTCCCAGRGCTTGGGAAATGATGAAGCTTCAATCCAACTGCATCTCTCATGGATTCTGTGCGTGACCTTGATGAAAGTGTCTCTCAGGGCTTCATTTTCCTCAGGCACAAGACAGGGCATTCTCTCCCACTTGGCCTGTCTTGTCTGTATCATAAATTGTGTTGGCAGGGACTCCCTCTCACTGCTTGTTTGTAAAACACCTAGCATGCACTTTACACAGCTGTAGGAGTTAACATAATACAGATTAAAAATCGTGATTCATGTGGTAACATACTAACAGCTTTTCTTATCACAAGGCTAAGTAGGTGCTATAGGTAGGGCTGCTTTTTCCCCCCCCAGTGGTATGGGATGAGAGAAGTGAACAAGAAAAGTCACATGGGATGGGGAAGACAGTGCCAGAGGCAGTTCAGCTCCAACATTCTTCTCATCAAGCTTCCTCAAACACTAATTACATTAATTTGAAATTCAGTAGATAATTAACTAGGGAATCTTCTTTGGTAAGACACCGAAAATCAYACAGAAAGGGAGGGCTTTGGTCTTGCCCAGTGTGTTCGGCTTTGCAAGCTCACTTTTTTTTTTGGTAGGAAAATTATGAGGACCCTGGAGCTCAGCTAGTAATAATGTTTTGCCTGGTAATCTCTTTGTGGGGAGAAATAGAAAGCTGGCATATTCCATATGAAGATGCGACTGTCCACATATGCACAGGCTTCTACCTCAAGAGTGACCTTGGCATTCTTTGTCAATGTTTCATGGTTTTAATGAAGGATTAATATAGGAAGAAGGGGATAAGAGCAAAAGAGGGAGTAGATGGGGAAACACATGGGCAGTAAAGTAGGAAAGAGCTTTCAAAAACCCTTCCAGCCTCACAAATCATAAAAAGTGATCAAGAGGAACATTTACAGAATCAGTCTCTGGAACAAGAATCAAATAACTCAGCACAACAGCACTTTAGAGACAATGTAAAAGAAAATAATAACAGTTTTAATTATGGAAGAGGAAAACATTAGATTCCAGGTTAGCAAGCACCATGAATAACACTAGCTTATAGACATCTTGAGCTTAAGTCCCATCATGACCACTCAACACCAAAATACCCCATCCTTCCCTACATGAGCATGGATACTTTGAACAGACTTTTGTGCATTGCCATGAGCCATATCAGAATGGAGATCCAGACTAGTTGTGAAGAATGACCACAGATTATTCATGATCCACTGTAAAAGTTGCATCCAGATGTAGGCTCTCTTCCAGTTTTTGATCTAGCTTAGACAAGCCTCAAAGTGGCAGGCTCCTTGCTGAACAGAACAGTCCTTAAAGGGGGAAATAATAGGAAGGTTTAGAGGCATGTGGAACCCATTAGAAGTGGCATGTTTGCAGGGACAGATTATAAATTGGATCAACTAGAAAAGTAACTGAAAAAAAACTTAGGATTTCATCTTGTATGGAACTGCCTGAACCCAGCCAAAGCATGTTGTTTCAAACCTTCACTTCTCTATCATTTCTTCATTTTACTGCAGTTCTGGGAAAGCACCCAGAACTGAGGGCAGCCAAAGCCCCACATACCATAAGACCCACCTCAGTGGCTAGAACAGGGAGAGGGGCATTCACCTGGGCACCATCATGTACACTCACAGCATCTGCAGCGCTCACAGAAAAAAGCCATTTCAGTGGAATGATGGGGACAGAATTCACATTTTTGCAGTTATTCCATACTTGAATGTAATAGACTTGTGGCTTCTGTACTAGCCAGGAGGGACACACGGTGCTCTGCAGTAGCTGCACACTTGCTGTGAGGGTGGATTTCAGCTCCCTGGCCCCTGCTACCCAGCAGCTACCTGGAGCCCAACTTCTAACTTCCCTGCTTTAGACAGATGTAGTGGATATCACCCTAAAAGAACACGAACCAGTCATTCATTAGCATCAGACATGCAAAACAAATTTAGCTAAGCTGATTACTAWAATGTAGTAGCCAAGAGCACTGTTCAAATTGACGTGGGAGAAGAAATRCCTTTGATACTCTCAACACAATGAGCTGTCTATTTTTGTGAAGTCTCATGTTTCCTAATTACCTTAATACTTTAAGAATTAGGTAATACCAGTGTAGAGTCACTCACAACGGGCTGAGTTCACAGCCTCCCATTCCGYGGTACTTACAGGGAATGTTAATCTGATACAAGAGTCTGGCTGCAGTATCGGGCATTATCAGGAATAATCAGTCACATCTCAAGAGAAGAAACACCCTAGAGTGCCACGGAGCAGAAACCAGAGTTCAACACAGAAAACACTACAGACACGGCTACAAGTGCATCCTCCGCACTGTGTCCTGTCCTCTGCAGTGATGAATGGGTTTTGCCAACAGCTGCACTATGGTGAGGACTCTCTGCTTAGTACCACTCTCACCTAGCCAAAAAGTGAGGAGGAAGCAGCATCTGCCACGTGTGCCAGAAGATACCTAGCACCTGCTGCAACCCCRGAGACCTTCACCACAGTTTGCACACAACTAGAGGAGGTAATTGCTGGAGAAGGTCCAAGTCACCCCCCTTCCAGTAATCCTAGAACTTTCGTCTTGGAGTGTTGCATCAGTGCGTTAGATGGCAGATAGGACACGTGCTGCAATAGCTGAGCATGCCAGTGCTGGCTAGGATGAAACAGGACCTTCCGTGCTAGCCCCACAATACGTGCTTCACACCATGGTATTTTCTCTGCGTGTTTATTTGTGGGAAGGTCCTAAGAAAAGAAAGCAAAGCATCCTAAATTGGAAGCAGATGAGGTCTGCCTATTATTCCAAGTCATTCTACGACAGAGAACAAAAGCAAGCAAGGCCAGTGCRTGGCAACCTGCAGTGCGAGACACTAAGCAGACCCTGCTGACAAGTCAGCTCCGCATTCAGTGCTTGGGCAGGGCTCCTTCTAGTCCACAACAAACACAAGGAGGAAATGACCTTTGCGCATGATACCAACACCTGTGGCTGAGGCACAAGACTTGGACTCCTCAGCTTAAAACAAAAAAGTAGCTGGAAACACTGTTAAACCTTCCACAGCTACAAACTGCTCTTTCACACACAATACACACAATTAGGACACACTTAAACCCTGCATTATGGGGACAATAGGCTGTAGCAGCTCTAATCCAAGTGAGTCATTAAGCTGCGCCACTTCAGTAGGAATCTGCATCCTTAAAAAGTGTCTGCGTATCATACAATCCATCTGTGTAACACAGTCCATACAGCCCAGCTCCAGCAATTAACTTAACTACACTTCCCCACGAGCATATTGCTACCATGTGTATGCATTAGCATCTTGGCAATATTTTCTTTTTGTAAAAAGATGGAAAGTATTAGTGCCAACGTGGTAAATCTGTCTATGTCTGTCTGTATGTCTAAGCCTTATGGCTGTTGCTGGGAATTCTCCTTTGCATTCTGTGTGCGTTAGGCTACCAGCTGCTTTTKGAACCTCCTTAATCCATTTCAAACGTATTTTGCACTTTTACATTGAGATAAAACCCTCTCAAGATGACTAGCCAGGGATGATGACAAATTGAGATGGAAGGTTTATGGGGAAAGAGGCAGTTAACCATCCAGTCCAAACCAGCTGGTCACACTTGACTCTAGAAAGGTAACCATACAAGTCCTCTAGTGATCTTAAACAGCTTCCTTGTCATCCTTGCTATGTGACTCAAGTAAATGAAGAGAAACCTAAGAGGAAACATTAGCAGCTTCCAAGCTTTAAAGGACACTGTATAGTTCAAGGATAGATGCCAAAAGAGACACAACCTATGCAAAACCAGAGACTCTGATCTAAGCCCCAAAACACTCAAGAATAACTAGGAAACTGAGGCAGAAATATGTGCTCAGGAGTCTGTTCCTCTAGATTGYTATGGATGCATATCCTGCATAACAGATGGGAAGCTCCAAAAGTCAATCTGAACTGGTACATCCACACATCACAGCATCCTACAGTGACTTGCAGCCACCTCTGCTACCTCCTGCCTTGCTCATACGCGTTTCTGGAACTAGGCACCAGAGCTAGCTTGGTTACGTACAATCTAGACAAGGTCTAAGTTTCTTCTGGCACCCAGATGGACAGATGTCAGGGCCAGTCCCAGAAAACATAGACCCAGAGGAAGAGCCTCACCCAAGGTTTCAAAGCCATTAATCCTATGCCAAATATTTAACAGAAAGAGTTAATTATCCACAAGTGTTTTACCATAGAATGGACAGAAAGCTTGTCAAAGTTCAAAGATGGTAACAATCATGCAYTTCAGTCATATAACTATAAAGCATCACAAATAATCTATGCAATATCTGGTAAATCATCACTCCCAAGCTATTACTGCCTATGTCAAGTTTTGCCRGTAGCAAATACATGAGAAAAATGCATAGGGAAAATCCAGAGAGGCCTTCAAATCAGAATTTTTAGCAAGCACTGCCTGAATCATGATTTGTCATTACCTGCTAGCCAATGCTGTAAGAATTCCCTCCCCCTTCTCTTCCAGTGCCTCTAAAGGGMAAAATACACTTGAGGAAAAATATTTTAGTAAAATGGAATGCTAATTTAAATCAACCTTGTGACCTGGAGCACTCAGCTCAGATTTTCACATGTTAATCAGGATTAGCAGCAGCAGAGATTAAAAACCAAAGTTTCCTTCTCTGGGGAAAAGTCATTTTTGTCATGTGCACACTCCCCAGATGGGWTGAAAAGTCAACACAAAACAGAATGAAGAGATATACATACTTTCTCAAAGTCTATCTTCATGTTGAACCATATCCACTTAAGTGCTTCAGTGTCTTCTGAAAATTATAATAATGGTGCCTCCATCCACACACTGCAGTCATGGGATTCCTGAGATGATCCACATCTAGCAGAACCAGAGGTTCAGCATGCTCCATCTTAGGAGATATAATCCAGCCTGGGAAAGGATCCCAAGAAAGAATAGAAAAATGAGATGTAAGATCTAAAGCACTTGTATGGGACTACAGAAGCTCAGGTAAATGAAGATGCACACTGAAGYGACATGAAACATTCTGAGAAGAACAACTAAAAGTGTCTTAGTTCTATTAAGCCCCACATGAAATACCCATTTATACTTTTCAATTTACTTAAGAGCATTCAAACCTTCTGRAAAAAAAMCAAAAAACTTAAATATTCCTGTATTTTGACTCTGCTYGTGTTTGGGGTTCCCAGAGGACAGACAAAAAGCACACAGTCACTTACCCCAAAAATAACTTAAATCAGTGAAAGAATCCAGGGGGAGAACAAATAACTCTGAAGAGATCATGTTRACAACAACTCCTTAAGACTATTGCTAAGGACTGACCATCCCGTTGAATTAGGATCCCCAAACAYGGTACCTTCAAGTCACTACTTTCCCAGGAAAGGAGACAGAATCTGCTCGCGGTCAAATACTGTGGACTCCAAGGGTTGAGGTAGCTCTGCCCCCAGGCAGAGATCTGCCCATGCCCCACCAGTCCTTTGCACACAAGCTTTGGAAGCAATTCTCACAAGCCCAGCTTTCCTGTCCCTGTACCTGTGACGCTCATCCCTGGTTAGTTAAGGCATGGGGAAGCAGTAAAAGCAATCGATTCCCAAAGCCAAGTATACAGAGAAAGCAGCATCAGCACTGTTCTGCTTTTGGACTGTGAAGGAAAATAACTGAAGCCATAACTGAGATAAAGTCGCTTTAGCGATTTTAATATATATTTCAGGACAGAAGACATAAGGCATCCCACTGAAAAGCCAAAAGTGCACATTTGCACTTCATTCTGGATTTGTGCCAGAGGGAAGCTGTAACYGAAGCAGCTGCAGGAGCACCTGCACCTCCAGCTAGAGAACAGAGGAAGCCAGATGTGGGCAAACAGCTGCCACATGCTTGGCCAGTGGGTCAGGTTCTGATGTGATCGYCTGCAGCTGAATTCAGAGCTTTCTGAAACACTGGGGTTCGGTTACTTTCATATTCCTCAACTTTTTGTTCTATGTTTAAGGTTTGAGATTGATGGAATAACTGGAAGATTTTTTGGTTGTTGTTTGTGGGGAGTTTTTTTGGGGTAGGGGTGTTTGTTTTTAATGAATAAGCACAAGAAATAGGAGTTTTCTGTTCAAACAACTCACTTTGAGTTTAAGTCAGTAAAATATTTTTAAAAWTTTCTCTTGCCCATCTTGGCACATAGGTCTACACTGTAGAAGCTCATACATTTTGCTTCAGGTATTCCCCTGATTTCTTTTTTTCCCCTGTTAGTGCTAACATCCCACATGTTTCAAATCCCAACACCCTGAAGACAGATTGTATACTGAGCATATTTACATGAGGTGGGATTCAAGTCCAGATAGCTAAGTGTAACCTGTAGCCTCTATAGTCCGCAGTTGGGCCTTAAACCACAATGCGACACTGCTCACATTAAGCCATGCTTGGATTTCCAAAAAGCCACAGCTGCTGCACAGTGGCTGTTTGTTAGTCCAGATGAACTAACAGCATTGGATTCTCATTCTGAATTCACTTTCCAATTGATGAATGAAATTCACTATAATCATTTTGCAAACAATTTCCAAATTAAAAATCAATTCACTGTTTAATAGCCACCAAAAAAAACCACAGGTAAATTAAATTAAGTAAAAGAATGACCATACAGGGGGTTTCTTAGTGTTATGCAGCAGCATTGTGAACCCAGTGAACTACAGTGCAGTTTATAAAGGCACCTGGGATCACCTTGAAAAAAATGGTGCAGCTTTATTATCTGTACAGCTGCAACAAACTCATGGCAGGCAGGATGAGAGAAAAGACTCGATCCATTTAAACAGTATTTTGGCATAGGCCTGTTCATAATCCTTAAGAATAACTTCCTTCTGGGCCAGACATGCCAGCAACATCACAGAAACACCTGGAAAACAATGACTGGAGGATACTAAAAGCCACTAACTTTATCAGAAGTCCATTGCCAGCTTCTATTGATACAATGCATCATTTTGTGATTTCAGGTAGAGCAGAGGTTCATCTCTCAGTTCCAATGATCATGATACTCATCTCTGCTATTGGTGCTTCAAGTCACACTTTGGACCTCAAAGATTTAACACAATATAAAGCACTCCAACACAGGAGAAGCCACTTGAATATCTGCCATCGCTCTCCATTAAACCAAAGATCACTGCCTCCACTTTTACGAAGAGGAGGAAGTACATCTTGCCAAGTCTACCGGTCTCAATGCTGACCACTCAGCCTAGAAGGCTGAAATACAGAATTAGGCTGGAAAATGACACAGGAAACATGTTGCACACATGCAAACAAGACTCTGGAATCCTGGCAGGAAAAGTAATACAACAGGGAAGAATGAAGAGGACACGGCTAGACAAAGTCAACATCTTGGGAAGCAGTTGGTAAAGAGACAGACAGATTTAACATTGTAAACAAGCTACAAGATTCTCTGTGGGAAGAGCAGACAAATCATCATGGACTACTACAATGTCTGAGCCATATCTCCTTTATGCAGATTTTTTAAAAATCTGCTTATTTGTATACAGACAGTGATGCAGGTGTTTATCTTGGAATGACACTTAAGTCAAATGCTCTAACTAGCCCTGTAAACTTTCTCTCATTCTAAACATACTTCCCACTTACAGAATAAAAAAAAAAAGCAGTTGAAACAGCAAAAAGTATCTACACGCTTTCTTTTAACTCATGATTTTTTTTTCTTCCTATTTTGAGACTAGTTAGGATCTAGCACTCACTGTTCCAAACGCAAGAACTTAGTAGTAATTGAAGATCAGAGCAGCAAGCAGGAAGAATATCTACAGAAACCCTACTTGGCCAGCTCTCTAATGAAATTCCAGGATATAAAGGAAAGACATGTGATTTCTCAAAGGCTGTATATTGCTCTCCATGTTAAGGGTGTTGCAGCAAGTGCTGGTTTCAGTTCCTTCTACATCACATAAAAGCATTGTGAGCTTCCAGTTTCCTCATGCTCATACAGAATGTCCTTCCAGTTACACTACATACAAGTRCGTATGCAGTAGTTCAAATAAGTGATTTTTACATGCAGATTACAGTGGGAAGAAAGAAAATCATCTGTATCCTGCCCTAGSAGCTGCAGGACTCCTGGGGCAGCAGTATCAGAGCAGCTCCATTGTACAAACTCTGAGAGCTGGACAAAAATAAGGTTCTTCTCAAGACATGTGATTATTCAACCTGGTCCCTCATGGATTTTCTGCACAACCTTTTGGGACATCAGCTGGGTATGCACAATCTTCAGAGAACTCTGCAGCWGTGAGTGCAGAGCAACTGTGAAAACTGACTGCACAAATGCAGGGAGAAGGTATCCTTCTCCTGCAGCTGCCTGGCAGAGAAAGCACCAGCCCGTTACTCAGCCCCGACCCTAGTCTGGTGTTTTGGTGTGCCAAATACAAACCTCACACCTGTGCTTCAGATGGACTTCCATTYAGATGGAGATGCATTACTCACTCCATACAGAACCAGAAGAGCAGAAGTGGGGGAGAGGGCAACATCTTTCACATTTTCTGACAGTMCTCATGCATTTCAAAATCAGAATTTTGAGAATCAGAATAATCCACATATCCCACCTATGTCTGAACCCATTCAAACCTCACAGGGAGAGCAGAGCSAGTGTCTAATGAAAGGGTAATTACAGTCCCTAGATAGTTGGAGTTCCATGAGTTTACCATCCACACAACGTCTGCTGACTCCATAGATGTGCCAAAACCCTCATCTATCTTCCAGGAAATTGAAGGACTTGCKTAATGGGAATAATATCATTCCTAGGTTGATTTTGGTAAGAGTTGCATCACTGACAGGTGTTGCAGCACTTAGGGAAAGCAGCCAAAGGACAAGAAAAAGTAGATCCCACCTTAACAGTTTCAAACCTTGACAGAAGAGATTTCAAACATTGACAGAAAACTGAGCAGTATATTTGAAAGTAGTTGATAAATTAAACTCTGTAAACCACTTTTCTTGTGCTCTGATTAGCAATTTGGTTTCCATATATATGGAGAGAGAGAGACTCACTTATACTCACACATACTGGCTTACACAGAAAACTTCTGATTAGCAGAAAAATAATCATCTTCAAACATAAAGTTTCCCAAAATGCTCTTGAGCACATAACGYTCAAATAGGTCAAATACGGACTAATTATACTTATTCTCTGAATAGGGCAGAAGTAATAAATTYGATATGGCTATCACGGGCTGTATATTTTAGACTGATTGTATTCTTTCTAGAAGCCTTTATACTTATGAAGGCTTATGTTTATGAAGATATGCTTACAAGCCAGATTAAGTCTCTCCTGATTGCCCAACTATAATGCAAAATATGTAAATACTGTTTTGCATTTTGCATTATTTTTACATTAAAATAGTTTTGTTGGTTTTTCTTTTCAAATGAAACCTGATTGTAAAGGAGATTTCCCTYCAGTATCTTTTTTTCTTAAATTATAATGTAACCCTCCAGTTGAACCATATCCTTACATCCTGAAATTCTCTTTGCTCAGGCACCACCTTCCAGAAAGGCTGCTGCAGATTTTTGTTCCAGAAAAGACTGCTGCACTCATTCTACTCTGAAGCGATGAGACTTTAACACAAGCAGACCAAGCAGTGCTGAGGCAACAACAAAAAAAAAAAAGCAACTTGCATTTAGCCACTACACAGGCACTGATCACACTTCACACAGATACTGATCACCAGAAAGTACAATTACTTTATTAAACTGAAATCCATGAATAATTCACCAGTGTCAGCTGATAACACTCARAAGTGGCACACTATTTGACGATCAATAATTATTTGAGATTTTTCCTCTTTTTTGAGACCCTGACATTTTATAACTGAACAGTTTAATTAAGSACTAGATCTGTTTAATTGAACACACTGCATCAATCTTTTCTTCCCTGTTGTGATTTGGGGAGGTGCTAAAAGTAGTTCCTCACTTTTCAAAAGAATATATTTCTCACCAGGAATTACGAAAATGGGTTCTCCAAGAATAAGTCTCTCAGTTCTGAACTTTGTGCTCCACTTTTGCTCTCACTGAGCAGCTAATAGCCTTCACATAATAAGTTTACAGGAAAAGATAATTCTAGGTTCACTGCAATCATATTTAAACCTCATATGGCGCTGAGGTTTATAATAAGTGACAGTGCTAAGACTGAATCTGATTTTGATCTGACCCTATGCCCAACACTGTGGTCCTTCATGATTTCCACATGATTTCCACACATGATTTCCAGCAGTCAGAGAGACAGAAGATGTTCAAGATCTCAGTCTTGGAAATATTCTTCAAAATTAAACCAAATTCCTATATTTATCTAATTTTTTTTCCTACAGGAAAAACTGCTTTCTAAACACAGCTGCTTTTCAAATGTGGTGTCATTAGCTTTCACATTCAACAAATCTTACAAGTTGCCAATCAAGTTTATTCACTGACAGAGCATTTTCCTGTGACTGCTGACTTGGGTGTTAGCTTAGGGTGCAGAAATGCAGCCTGTTTTTTTCCAGAGTTCCTGCAGCAGGGTAAATACAAAAGACTTATTCAGCTTCTCAGCCTGTGTCAGTGCAGCAGCCTGCTCCACTGCAGATTCCATCTGCTTTTTGTATTTAAGCACATCTTAAAAGGTGGATATAGACACCTTTCTCGAAAAATCCCAGAGAGATTTCTAGTCTCTCATTTTCCTTTCTACTTATCTTGGATTTGCCTTTTCTAAAGGTACTACTATTAATCCTGCTTATAGGAAACTTTATGCTCCCATGGTTGATTTTCCTCTTTAAAACACTCAAGTCTCCATGCACAGGTATGTGCTTCTCTATTTCTTCCTGTCCCCCTTTATCAACTCCTGCTCAAACATTTATACATATATACACACACRTTATACATACATATACACACACACACCCCTCTGACATCCATATATCGGGGCTCTAAATCTTTCCTCTTAACTGACCTCTCTTAAGTGACTTGAGAAGGGAGAACACTCCAGAGTGTTGTTGCACTCTTCAATCTCACTTTCTGTGCACCATTTTCAAAAGCACCCAGATCTGCACAGTTATTCCCAGCAATGAGATCCCTCATCAAAACTAGCCAAATTTTACAGAAAACCAGGTTTCCCTGGACTATACAGACTTTTTTTTTTTTGACCTATTCACAACTATTCTTCTTTCTAATCTTGTTGCACCCTCCGCATCATGGCTGAGGTGCCGGAGCAGGCTGAGACCTTTCCCAATTTACTACACAAKGTAACTGCCCTTGGAGCTATTAAATGATTACAGAGGATTTCTTTTTTATTAATCAAATGGACAGGTGATAGAATGCTTCTTGAATTAAGAAGCTTTGGAGCTCTAGGCTGCAAAGAMATCCTATAAGCCACAGAAACACCCTTTATCACAGAGTCTTTGCAGAAAAAGAAAAATCCCAGTCAGTGCTCAACTTCTGTAAAGACAGTGGCTCCTAACGCTCATTTCCTACCTGTTATAAGCAAACAGGTAAATTGTGTCCTGTATGATCCTAAAGCCACACTGCTGTACTTATTCCTGTGCTAGCAGAAATAATTTCTTCTAGCTGCAATGGCACATACTACCCCTGTTGCAAACAGGCYATGGAGACTGACATGAAATCAATCACCTATCTCTACTGTGAYGCCAAAGCAGCAGAGTTTGCTACAAAACCACAGAAATCAAACAGTTTTTTTGCCAAGCACATTCCACGCTGCCTTTCAGACTCCAAACATTTATAGTGGTTTTTTTTTCTCCTCTCCTTTGACCATCTTCAATGTATTTTGTCCACTTCTGTGGAGTGCTCTGCTTCTGCAGCCCTTACCAACAACAACACTCACCCAAGCAGAGCTTATTACAGAATAGCCATAGATCAAGACCAGTAGATGCACAGTGGCCCCAAGAGCCTCCCACCAGCAAGGATGGGAACAGCTACAGTGCGAATGACAAGAATACTGCGCCACATGGCAAATATTATTTCACATAGGCCAGAATGGGTAGGCTATGGCAAGTAATAATAGTAGCTAGTAAAAGTAGTCCTAGCACTACAGGTGAACCCTGCCTGCAGTCAGCATTATGTTCATGGGGTTTCAGCAGACCTCTGACCTGTCTGCTGAAAAGAATCCATTTTCTGCCACCTAAAGMAGCAATAATGCAGAGCACTCCAGGAAAAAAAAAGAAAGAAAGAAAGAAATGCAACAGTTTTATACACAATTACTGTCAAATCATACCTGAGTAATTACAGCTCCCATGGCATTTGTTCTCRAACAGAGGAATAGTCCATTCAGTTAACACATTACCTGTTGTAGAGAGAAATAAAAAGGAAMTGGGAACCCTGATTTTGGACTGTTTTTCTTGGACTCGGTGTTTAATCCATTCTTACAGCAGAAAAGAACGTAGTTGGAATATATTTTCAGACGTTTCAGTGAGTACATTTCATTTTTAATGAGCAGAGAGCACTTAAATTCCTCTGAACATCACTATCTGATGGCTAATACCTCTACCCTGCAGTCCATGTGTCAAGACAACATTTGAAATAGTCTTCTGTGGTCCTCAAGATTAGCTTTATCTTAATGCTTGTGATGGCTGCACGTATTTGTTAGTTGTAACTCAGTTACTCCAACACAAGATTGTTCCATTAGCAGGAGATAAGATTAGCAATTTAGGAATACTACTATTACTAATAACTGGATCAAGTTTAGCTTCAGAACAACAATATATAAAAGCAGCGACTGTTAAAACTTCAGCTAACACTCAAGAACCCGTTTATCACTCTGTATGATGCCTTATCAAGCAAAGCCACATGAATACCCTTTCAGATTGAATTTTATCACAAAGCAGGATTAAAAAGATGCTGTAAAAGTTTTTGCCATTAGCTGTTCCTTTTTTTCTTTTTTTTTTTTTTTTGCTATGTTATCATCTATCAACCAGCTAAGGCCACAACCTGCCCCCATTTCCATACCTAAAACTGCGACAGCCAGTCCTCAAGCCCTGTAAAAAGAAAATCCAGAATTTTAATTGGCAGTCAAAAAAGATGGATAATTTCTCTAATACATCAGCAGTCACCAGAAATTCAGTAATGGTTTCACACACTTGGGTTACTCTATTCAGTAACTATTTGCCTGCCTCGTGAGGGCACCTCATGATCATATGTTATAGTCTTTGCTTTTTAGCTATCTCCTTCAAAATAAGGAAGACAGACACCTCTGCAACTGTAAGGCAGACCCCAAACATACTAGAAGTTTCCTCTGYTCAAGTCACACTAATTGCCAGGATAAGAGGCCATCTCAGTGGGATAATGAGCTGAGGTGCCGTTTAAGGGTTTAACGGTCACTGTAGTGACTTCAYGGGAGTGAAGGCAATGAAACACTGTGGTTGGACAGCAGAGATTAGGAACCAGGCTATTAAGATGGAGAAGGCAAGGAGGACAGACCAACTTAGTTCAGCKCTCTGAACAACTTTAACACAACCACAGTCTACTGACAGAAATTTCACTTACTGAATATTTCTCAGTTGTAACTAGCTAGTAYCTGTTATATTCCATCTTGGATATCTACTTCTTATAACTAGGAACTTTTCTCACTGATTTAGCACCTCTGTCAACCAGCTCTTGTACTTCTGTGGGATTCTCCATAACTAATCCTGAGGGAAAGAAGCACAGAAGGTTTCCTTACACAGCATGGTAAAGATAAATAAAAGGCACTTGCCTCTAGCAGGATTTTTCCAGATCACAACAGGATGCTTCTTTGAGGAATGTCCACAAAGAGGCTCTAGCTGCAGCACTCATCTGAGCTGGTATCTGAGCTGACCAGGGAAGGACCAGGGATGGTCTAAGGACAGGGAGATAAATTCTCACAGATGCCCCTCTGGCTCTTGCCCTGGCACAGCTCTGCTCTTCTAGAATTCTTCAGCCTAAATTAGGTATTAKTGTTTTGAACTGCTTACAGTTCAAATACTGCTGCCATAATAATTAGCATATTATTGTATTTATTAAGTGAAGCACTAAAAGACCTTGAAAAACAGATGAGATGAATTAAAATAATCCCTTTTCCCCCACAGCTGCTGAGTAACAAAAGTCTTTTCTATAGGACTTGGGATTTGCATTTTCGTCTCCTCTTAACAATTCTCAAGTGTTCCTCAAGAGCTCACAACACTTGTATTGGCCTTGAACGGGTCACAGAACCAAGGTCAGTATGTCCAGTTCTGATGTAAAACAAGTATAAAAGTGAACTACATGCATCAAGGGTGAATGCAATGGGTAGTTGATATGTCTGGTATAACTGGAGAAGGTGAGAAGTAGTTAGACTCAACACTTGTCTAACGTAGATGGAGCAAAGAAAGCCCTTGAGGTCAGACATCCAAGGTTCTCACAGCCCTCAATTTTTAGGCCAATTGTGAGAACTAGGCCCAATGCAAGATAGAAGTTCACCCATYTTCATTCCATACACAGTTAAATGCGTCCAAGACACTTTTGGAGTTTGCTTTGCTTCTTAAGCAGAAACTTTTAGTAAGGTACGCTCTCAAAATGCCAGCTGTCAACCAACATATAGATATTATGAATAATATATCTAATGCTTTTTAACTGCCTTGGATGTTTGTGTTATCCATTGGTCAAAATACTGACTAGAGCATTAAGACAGTCTTCAACAACTCTGCGTGGAGTAGAGCACGTGAATGTGATTGCACACCAAGAAAGAGGAGAGCTCTGCTTCCCCACAGGGAGAGCTGGGAGCCATTCTGTCTCAGCAAGAAAAAACCCTGCTGGTCTGAAGGGAATAAATCTACTACTGCCGTCTGCTTCCCCATTTGAGAGGGCAGTCTGTAGAAAAACATTCACCATAGGCATGATTTAAAAAAAAAATAAAAACAGGAATACAAAAAATGCAAGGTCTGGCGTTTCAAGGCTTCAGCTACCAACTGACAGAAACTAGGCATGTTGTATTGTGAATTCGCATGCATTTTCAATCAATCTAGCAATGCCCAATATTAGAAACAGGATATTTGATAAATGGGCAATTAATCTAATCCAGTACAGCAATTACTATACATTTCTTTCTTCTTAAAGAAGAGAGAATATGAAGTGCTATAAACATGTGAATTTGATGCACTGAAAAAAATCAAAGAGCACAAATTTCTTTCTTTTCTCCATTTCAGAACTCAAGATGCAATATTTTCYCAGAACTAATTTCTATTTTATAGGTTAATCAGCTTTTACATAACTTCTTACTCAGAAGAGAATCAAATACTCAAATCTGAAGATCAGTTTGGGCTTTTCAATGGTTAAAACCAGCATGATATGCAATCCTGATTTCATGAACAATACACATAGCTCAGAGTTCAAGCAGCACAACAGTTCATCTCCAACAGAACAGCACATGTTAGCTCTGAAAACAAAGCTCTAAATTCCAATGAATGCCCCAAAATATTTAACACCTCTTTGGAGATGCCTGTTAGAACCCAACAGAAAAGATGCATCTTTCTCTCAGAAAAGAAATGCAAATCCTTRCAAGGCTCGATAACGATAATATGGCTCCAGGCACGTCTTTGTTTCTTCCTTACTATCTGCTCCTATGAGGATTGCTATATTCCCTGATGCTTAGGGTAAGCATTTTAAAAGATTATTTTTTCCAGTCACTTCTGACATTTATTTTTAGACATTTTTCTTTCACGTTTACCACTTCCATTAGTGACTTTAAAAGCTTCTTTTTTTTTTAATTAATGTGAAGAGTATGTTTTGGTGCATTAATCCAACCAACTCATAGCTGGAAATTTTAGTGTTATTTTGCAGTTTATAAAATCTAAACAGCAGGCCAAAAAATAAATTAACCTTATGCACTGTCAAGTTAAAAAACAGAAAGAAAATTATTTCCAGTCTACTCTTCAAAAGGATCAAGCTCATTTGTGATTAAAGTCCAGTATAGGCTTTAATAAYTGCATTACCCACATCAGGCCCTCCATGCATCAGTCTTCTCTAGCCACTGAAGCCTGCAACACTCTGGATCCTCAGATGTACAACRTATGTCCTTAAGTGCCAAAGGGCCTTGAATATTGCCAGAAATATCCAAGAAGAAATGTGAGCCAAATGAGGAAGTCTAAAGTGAGGTCCTATCTCTCTCACTGACCTGATACATCACTGTTTCCTTGCCTAACTTTGCTTTCTTTCTTACAGATCTCTGGGGCATTTGCTTCAGTCACCAGCAGGGATTTCTTTATCCCAGCTGCGACCTCTATGCTGTAGCACAAAGTTCCAGACTGAAACACTGAAAGGGTTAAAAGCATTTTCTCCACCCAAATTCTCAAAAGCTATAAACAAATGACTTCAATGGATTACACTATTTCACATCCATGAAAAGGTCCAAGTGAAAAAAATAAAAAGCATAATACCATGCATTTTTTTCTTATGGCATTTACTACTTCTTACATGACTTGACTTCACCCTCCTAGGTGTCTTGCCCTGACTAGAGGGTCTAATAAACTGCATCACCGTATGTTAAATTATACCTTAGTCTTCTATTTCCCAGAGAAATGAAAGGCAATTCTTTCAGCCTTCCTTCACCAGCCGTGCCAAAGTTTCATACCCTTTTTGTTGATTCCAATCGGCTCTTCTCACCTCTTGTCTCTTCATATCTTTCTTAATGTACAGTGTCAAAACTGATATGCTACACTTTCTGCTACATCACTTCATAACACAATATATAAGCAGGAAAAAAAATGTGATCCATTGAAATAAATAAACCATTTCCTTGCTGTGCCCAGCCAAGACACACACGTATATCTCAGTAGACCTGGACATATCACCTGGTGTTCTTGGTGACAAATCAGCAACAAATTAGACCTGTAGACTCCATTTCAATTGTCATTATGGAGACCATAAAACTAATCTATGGTATACTGTCACAGGAATGTACCTTTTGATCATATTTTGAGTGCCTTTAATTGCATAAAAATACTGCTTAACTTTTTTTGTATATGTTTGTGAGAGGGTGGATCACTGCTACAAGAAATCAGCGCATCAATAAAAAGGTTTCATGCTCGCAGTAGGAAAAAAAGATCTCAAAAGTGGGGATCACAACCTAGCAAAAGAGGAAAAAAATTCAAAAGAGCTGGAGCGATTATTCAGGAAACGTGCAGTCATGAAACAGTTATTGCTCTTGTGTGAGACTGTTATCAAGACATTTGTGAAGGTTCAAGTGGGCAATTACTATTAAAACAGTCTTGAAGCTCTCAAGAGCTGATTAATTTTAGTAGGCTAGATCCTCTAAAAATTCTAGAAATACATTTTTGATTATGCATTATCCATTATGGGTTCTACTTAACATTTTCAGTCATCTAGTGGCAAGAAAATTATGTAGCTCTTGTTACCCACAATTCCCCATTTGTGTGAAGATCTGGCATTTAGGGAGCCTCAGATGTAATTAGTTTGTGCTCCAAAGAGAAATATCTTACAAAAGACAYGCTGGAACTGGTCCAAAACCTATGTCTGCAGGTTAAACATCCTTGCAGATATTTAGGGAAACAGTATATGGAATAACGCAACTACCTGTGGTCCATCCCACAAAATGCCACATGCTGAGAACCTGCGTTTTAGAAACATTTATTTGCAAGACCACCAAAAKAATCAATAGTTTCAAACATATCTGCTGGGAAAAGAGCAGCACTGGAAACATTTATATTCTTATCACCACTACAAGAGATCTCTAAACTAAAACTTCCATTTTAATTCAGCCTCAGATGGTCTCTTTTCATTAACCATCTCCAGACAAATCAATATACAGGGAGAAGTGGGCAGCATCTTTCAAGAGAAAGAAATTGCCATTGTAAATTATAACATGCAATTAGTCATGCAAAAATGAAATGCAGTAGAATTATGGTTTGTTTTATAAATGCTTCATTGTGAAGAGTAGATGGGACTTCAAGATATGGGTGAAGCAATAAATTCTTGTTTGTCAACATACCATTTTCATATGTAATTACCAAATTGTGTACAAGCT